ACACACTACATCACTGTACACACACTACATCCACTACTCAAAAACACTCTGCGTTCACTATACACACTGCATCCGCTACACAAACACACAAACGCCTTCATTGCACAAACAGTATCTAATACACACAAACACTACATCCATTACACACATTCTAATTCACTTCCACTATACACACACCACATTCAGTCCTGCATCATTGTGAGCGGACTAGGTAGGGCGTGGGCGGGCCCGCGAGATGGGGGCGGGGGCCCAGACCTTGTGCTTTGTCATGGGCCCCAAATTTTCTGATGGCGGCCCTGGTTAGCCGTACCAAAACTAATCTCCGCACTGTATTCTGTCCTTCGTGTTGTTAGTTGTCTTCAAGCATATGAGTTTAAAACCTCTTTGATTTGAAATTCTAATTTCTCGCAATTACCAATCTCTTTTCGTAAACTTTTTCTGCCTGTCTCCTCTACATCTTTAGCTAGATGGGTACGACAAACTGTCTATGGCAGGTATTAATATTTCAGTGTTTGGAGCTCACTCATCAAGAGGAGCTATGACTACTAAAGTGTTTCAAGCAGGAGGCTCTTTATCAGATCTGTTAAAAACTGCAAATTGGTCTTCAGAATCTACATTTAAACAGTTTTATTTTAGACCTAGCCTGCATGTTTCAAAAATAATATTGTAATAACTTCTGATGTATTTTATATTATGACTATTTAGCTTTGAACATGCATAATACGAGCCTCCTGTCTTGTTATAAAATTCAAGATTTTCCTAGTCTTGACGTCAGAAAATATAGATTTTATTAAAGACAGGAGGCGAGTATTATCCCTCCCATTAACCCACCCTGTTATTTATATTTCAGCTTAATCCTGTTTGGAGTTTCGTCATTCTATCCTTGGAGTTACTCTACTAGACACTTCTTCTAGATTAGCAGCTCGAAAGAGGGAGCATATTGGGGATCATTCTCTATAGAGACTATGCTGGATGCTGATTGGCTACAAATGTTCCATTTCAGTTACTGTTATTTTTTTATCTTTTTTTATTCACTAAACTTTATTGAAAAAATGTCTTTGCTGCTGGAGTTAAGTAAGGAAAGTTAATGCATAATACTCGCCTCTTGTCTTTAATAAAATCTATATTTTCTGACGTCAAGACTAGGAAAATCTTGAATTAGTGTTGACAACTCAAACACTAAAACCTACAAGAAAAACAGTGTGCTGTGTCTTTAAGACTATTAAATTCAATTGTGACACCCACAAAATTGCTAAAACACCTATAAAATATTACAAGTACCCGGTAAATAAAGGGACACTAGAGTCACCAGAACAACTACAGCTTATTGAATTTGTTCTGGTGAGTAGAATCATTACCTTCAGGCTTTTTGCTGTAAGCCCTGTCTTTTCAGAGAAAATGCAGTGTTTACATTACAGCCTAGTGATAACTTCACTGGCCACTCCTCAGATGGCTGTTAGAGATCCTTCCTGGGTCATGGCTGCCTAAAATGCATCCAAACATTCAGTATCTCCACCCTCTACATCAGGTTTCAACCCAGTCCTCAGGACCCTCTACCAGTCCAGGATTTGGATTACCTGGGTGTGTCTCAGGTGTTTAGAAAAAGGGAAAACACTTTAGACTTCAAGGTGTTTTTCTAAACACCTTAGACACACCCAGGTAATCCCTAAACCCTGGACTGGTAGGGGGTCTTGAGGACTAACGTTGAGAACCCCTGCTCTACATGCAGACACTGAACTTTCCTCATAGAGATTCATTAATTCAATTCATCTCTATGAGGAGATGCTGATTGCCCAGGGCTGTTTGAATTGTGCTGGCTCTGCCCTCGATCTGCCTCTTTGTCAGTCTCAGACAATCCTATGGGGAAGCATTGTGATTGGATCAGGCATGCAGAGCTACAGCTTCAGGGTTGAATACATGTAAGATTTTGCTATATTTATAGAAGCATGAGTGTCCCAGGGGATGGTTTTAACACTATAGGGTCATGAATACATGCTTGTGTTCCTGACCCTATCGTGTTCCTTTAAGTTTAATTTAGTGCTGTGTATTTCACAATTCAGTGCCAATACAAATCAAAACAAGTTCAGTGTAAACGTACAACCTTAAAACTCCACAGGTTCCATAATATCCACAGATTGCATATCAAAGAAAGGGAAAGAATATATTGCACTATGAGTTTTTTTTTTTTCCTAATCTCTGGATATTATGAAACCTGTGGATTTTTAGGTTTGTAAGTAAGCTGTTGCACACTTTACACTGTGTTTTGATTTTGTATTGGCAGTGAATTGTGAAATACACATCACTAAATTACACTTAATTATTAGGCTCCTGTAATATTTTATTGGGGTTTTAGCAAAATTTGTGGGTGTCAATCTAATTAGATTTTTTTTTAAATTTATATATAAACTTTCCACACTTGGATTTTCAGACCATTTGAAATAGCCAGTTTACAAATCGATAAAGTACAAGGTTAAATGGTTTGTCAATACAGAGTAAATCAAGGGTGTGACAGACATAGACAATTACATGAGAAAATAAGCACATTTCTTAATTATATAAAACTGTTTAGGTTGCAAACCCGGGGCTATTGAGGGATTGTCAGTGTTTAAAGGTTAATAATCATGTGTACTGTACAAACGAGATACTCCAGGCGGGTATTAAATATGCTCACCAGATAATTCCAAGAAGGAGGGAGTAGAGTGGGAATATTAACAGGTGGTGACATACTCAGTGCGTTAAGATGCCAATAGATAATGGACAAGCTGGGTATGTGCCTATCCAGCTTTGCCAGGTGGGATGTATAGAGGTGCGCACATCAACTATCCAGGATCTATTGAACTTCAAGAGCCTGTGCCCTCACTGCTGATTGAAGAGTGGGGCTACAAAACCCAATATAGGAATAAGTTACTAACTAAAGAAAAAAACTGAAACATGGGTGCAAGCAATTTGTTGCAAGTGGTCATATATGGTTGGTAAAGTTACCCGTAATCAGGAAAACAGTCTGTGTAACCTCTGCCCTCGGTAAGAAGGGGTGATGCCATCTAGATCCCAGAACTCTGCACGTTTTCCTGCCTTTGGAGGTGGTTGTGAATAAGGCACTCATTGTTTCCAAAAAGGCAAATACCCCAGACCTAGCTCTAAGATTGTGAGCAGTCCCGTTACAGTGGACTAAGAGAGCCAGTGTAGGGCATGCCAGCTTGTCTCAGTGAGCCTGTTACAGGCCCGAAGGACTTGAACCAGAGTAAAGTAGCTCTAGTGAGGTCTTGGAAAGTTGGGAGTCTTCGAAGGCCAAAGGTGTTATGCATTTTGTCGTGCAGTCACAGAGCATAGTATAACATTCCATGCCATAGCGGATTGAGTACAGACAATGCCAGTTACACGGAATATCAATCCTCAACATTTTTCTTAGCTACTGTATGTGACAGGGTTGCAGACAGCAATCGCCGGATATAATGTGGTAGCTCTTTGGTTGAGAATGTAGCGGTTACACCCCGGATTTTGATGTGTGTTTTATGCCGTTTAACCTCGAGGGACATCATTTGGGTAACTAACACTTGCTGTTCATCTAGGATGTGCTGGACCGAGTCCTTGAGGTTGGACACAGTAGTTTGGACATCAATACTGTCTTCCTCTGCAATTCTGACGCGATCAGTTACATGCTGTATGTCAGATTTTAACTAGGGCAACATTGGCTGGCAGCGGCTTTTATATTTCAGTGAGGAGGACTTTTAAGCCATGTTTGGAGGTAGGAGCTGAGTCATTGGGGAACCCAGGTGGTAAGGCTTGGCCTGCCTGAGGGGTCACTGAGGTATTGGGTGTCCTGGGGTCACTGGGGTGTCCAGATCTAGGCCGGAGTGAGGACAGGTGGATGCTCTGCGTGTGCAGGCTAGGATTGCATGGACATCAACACGTCCATACCTGGTGTCACGATATTGGGCTTTTGTGTGTGGGGACCCACAGTTTGCGTGCCAGTAGCAGTGTTAGGCGGGGTGTGATCTGGAATGTTTAACGCCTCTCCCGTTCTGCAGAAAAGTGCTTTGAGGCCTAGAAGTGGTAAGGTGCAGTAGGCTGCAGTTTTGCATCTGCCTGGGCTGCTTTGTTGCCTGAAAGAAAGGCATCAATCAGTGCAGTACACCTTCTAGATGAAATGTTAGTGCTTTGAAGAGCTGGATGACCTCCGGCAAGAGAGCTAGCAGAGATGGCATCTGATCAAGATGGCAGGCAAGCTCCACATCAGAATTTGAGTCTTAAAGACACAGCGCACTTAAAGTTTTTCTGGTAGGAATGGCTTAGTGATAGTGTCAAAAGTATATAACATTATTAAATACTAGATATTTTACAAATCTGAAAAACAATACAATAATGTTATACTATAGATGTTCCAAGACTGCTGGCTTTATTTCAGTCTACATGTTAGATCCCGATCTCTCACTAGAGGCTGCTGACAGGGGTAATGCTTTATACATAATAGGATTAGCTGGTAATTAACACATCTGTGAAGGCTTAACATTTCTGGGTAGATAAATAAGGACTGAAAGTCCTAAAGTAACAACTGGTCTGAACACAAGATGGAGAGAAATAAATCAATCTTTCTTTTCAGGAAGTGTATTAAGAAGCTGTATAAGTGATAGTAGCATGAGAAATGTATATCTATGGCTGCTGAAATTAAACATAAGCAGAGAGACTGTGTGGTAATATTCTATTAACCAAAAACACAATTTTGCTGAAGTGGTTTTTGGTGCTGATCCTTTAAAATTGATGACTTGTAAAGAGTGTTTTTCTTTTTTGTATAATCCTTCAGGTGATGGTTTCAGAAGCACTTCTATCAACATAAATTAGTTCAAAGTTGCATGTCCATTTTGATGCCCTTCTGTGTGTCATTTGTATATTTGTATTGCATTAAAAATACATTTACCATCATACCAAGAGGTCTAAAACGATTCTCCTTTCATGCTATTGTTTGATTAAAATATTATTATATTTAAATATTTGCATAGCTGGTCTCACCATCTTGCAGTCTGGTGTGAACGTATCCCAATTTGATGAGAAAGGCGTTGCCACTGCAACAAATTAAATTAGTATATATTTTTCTTAATGATGTTGCAACAATGAATATAAAAATGTTTTCACTTTCCAAGTGTTGGGTATGTTGTGTTAATCAAAGAGTAAAAATCATAATAAAATCAATTTTAATTCCAGGTTGTAACACTACAAAATGCAAACATGTCCAATGGGTTAAATGTTTAAGGCATCTTATGCTGTAATTTAGCAATTTGATAGTTGCATTACTGAGTTATGTTTCTGCTGCAGGTGTAACATTGTTCACACACAACTTTTGTACACTATAGCTAAATATCTGGTGTTCACACCCCACAACTGCTTATGTTTCTTGACAAGCATACGTTTTAATAACCCACTTTTAGTATGTACTGATGTAAAAAAAAAATGTAGTGCTCCCTGTCTTCTAAAGACTTGTCCAGATGTCTAACTCGTAGAATAATAAACTATTGTGTATGTTATTTATTTATTTTTTTGCAGTTCTGGTTTTATAAAAATGAAAACTAGCATACATTCCACATGGAGTTGGAAGGGAAGGAGTTTATTTGCGCAGCCAGATACTGCTAATACTTCTCAAATATGACTATCTTCTAAACGTACACTTTAAGAATATTTCTTTCTACCGTGCAAAATGTTCACCATTTTTGAAAAATATTTGCAAAATTTGGCATGTATGCTGGTAAATGAGCAAAGGTGATCGGAATTTATTTATTTTTATTCTGCTAACTTTGCTTCACCCAATGTGTTAAGCATAAAATGAGGCTGAAAGTGACTTTGCTATGTATAAAAATTCCCAATGTAATGCAAAAGATCAGTTTCCATAGGGTTTAATGCTGGTGCAGAATATCACAATATATCAAACAAAAGGCAATACCAAAGTTTGTGACATCAGTATCTTTAAACCTTTATACTCCACTAACCTGTCATATACTTCTATATTCCATGCCGGAAAATCAGTTTTAGCAGGCACGGTACCATATTAGACATTAGAGGTAACAAAATCACTACTCTGCAAAATGTTATATAAAAAAAAATATTAAAAATGCTGTTGGTACTTCAACAGATGGCGTAGTAGGGTACCAGAACACCTTTTCCCACATGGGAAGACAAAGGAATCTATATGCTCACAATTCATTATTTTCACACTAGTGGGAATTTTGAAATCCAAATATTTCACTCTAGTTTAGGTGTTGGCACCCTTCAACACGCCAGACTTTGTGGACTACATCTCCTCTAATGCTTTGTCAGCATTAAGGATGTAAGAGCATTATGCAAGATGTAATCCACAACATCTTGAGTGCAAAATGTTACTTATCCCTGCTCCTAGATGTACCAATGATGAACATCATTATGATGAATTTATGAGCCAAGGAACGCACAAAAGGAGGTTGCCAGGGCCATACTTTGGGCTAAGCAGTCACACAGGCATTAATGGGTTACTCCAAGCAACATGACCACTTCAGCGATATGACGTTTAACCCCTCTACTGCCAGAGGTGATACCCTACCTCTGGCCATGTCATTGGGGCGTCAATAGCCAGCCCAGGAACAAGAGTTCTCAGCTGGCTATTGTACATTCTGTGCATATATCTATGCACATAATTAAATTTATTGGAGGAGCGTGGTCAGCTGACACAGCTCTGCAGAAGCTGGATGTTGTTACTGGCCTTAGGACACATGGTACCCAGGTAAGAGGACCCTCTGTAACAAACCAATTTACCCTATTTACTGGGAAATTGGGCCAGGATACAGCAAGCATCATAATCACTATAGAGACCTGCAGTAATTATGATACTTAGAGTAATCCTTTAAAGATTTAGTAGAGATTTCCAGAGCAGCAGCAATTTCTTATCTAATAAACCTTGCCTTGCTTCCCACTTCTTAGAATGAAAACTGCAGCACCATCTCTTGCTTAACCCGATATCAATACCAATGGGTCTTCACAATCTAGTCCATACACATCTTGGCATGTTTTGTATAACCAATTAGCTCAATACAGTTATACTGCCGACATTAGTAAAACATCACTTGAAGAGCCTAACAATTTGGTTGTTTCGGTGTCATGGACTCTTATTGAGTTGGTGGCTCTTAAAGCATGAAACTGAGAGGTACTAGAATAGCTCAAGAGCCTTAAGCTAGAAACAAGACAATCATTACTGAAGATAGGAAAAAGCTGAACCACTACATTAGTGGATGTTCACCATAACAATACATAATTATTCAGCAAACATTTTCTGGAATTGAAAAAAATGATTACACCTTTTTTAGACTAATAAGTTGATTTGAAAAACAATCTCCATTTCCTTTCTCCTTTTTATTATAGCTCACTTAATGATGCCTTAACACTTGCAATTCCTTAATTAATTCCGTGTTTAGTGAATACTCTGGAAATCCTTCAGCCTAGGGAACCATCTGTTCTAAAGTGATTCCAAGACATTGATCTAAATGCCGCCTCCCTCTACCCCCTGTCCTCGACAGCCTGCAATGCAATATCAGGAGCCATAGTTCATGGCTTCTGTCCAGTTCTGCATGTACCTTAATCTACATTTACATTCAGCATTTGTGTGTGTGTGTATATATATATATATATCTCTGTAAGTAGATCTATCTATTGAAATGCTTATCCATTTATATAATACGTATCCTTACATAAATCTGTACCTATATATTTGTCTATCTTTGCATATTTATCTTTGTGTATATCTGTACAATCTACCTTTTTCCTGTAAAATATGTAATATGCATTATAAAACCTCACACATTGCCATCAAGAATTTTTCCACTGAATGGATACTTTTTACTAAAATAGTGGAGACTATATCCAATGTGCTCAGAGGTGTCCCTTTCCTATGAAAACCTAATTAACAGAGGTTGGTATCCTTGTAAAGATTAAAATAAACTGATTAAAGTCGACTTAACTTCTAGTTTGCAATCTAACCACATCTTTTGGAAAGGTTTATATTTATTTTAAAATACTTGTTTATTCAAATGTGTGTAAGTCTTGAATATATATACATTTTCAAAATGACTCTGATTTGTTGAAAAAGTACGGCACAGTCATTGAATAATAAACAGTCTTTTCATAATAAAATGTGTAAACTTGGTTTGATTTTTGTTTTTTAAGAACTATTAAGTAATGTTCATTTTCTATTTATAAAAAAAAAAATGGAGTTCAAAATATAATCTTATACCATCTACATATTTTTCAAAGAATTATCAGCTTGATTTCATTCTAAAATTTTATATTAATATAGGTATAGTAATATCACTTGTATCCAGGTGAAATTATATGCTACTACTTACTAAGCCACAGCAAGTAGTACATGTTACACATTAGTGATTTATCACATGATTTATGTTGGTGCCAGGGAGGATTAGTTAATGCAGTTAGGGTGGAGCTTAAGGAGTGTTCATTAACATGCAATTATAGAAAAACAGGATCAAGAAAAGTTAATCGAGGGGAAAATAAAGGCGCCAACAATATATAAACTGTATCATTTTAGATAAAAACATTTCCCAAAATTTGGAACTTAAGATAAACAAGGTGCAGGAAAATCTGCAAAAAGACAACCTGGTATAGCACAGTGTGGTTAGCCCTCTGTATCAATGGATGCCATCTTTTGCTGCAAACTGTCCTTTCTAAATAAAGCTTATGTAATAATATTGTACACAGTGTATATAGACACTGTAGCTTCAAAGCAATTAATTTGCCTTGGTATAAAGCACACAATTGCAACAACTGAAAAACGAATGGCAGCTTTGAACAAGCTCACTCTAAACACCACAAACCTTGCTAACAAAATAAGCCATTATAAAAAAGAAATTCTAGAAATCACAGGGAATTTAGTGTCAGTTACAAAACTATCCTCATGAAAGCCCTGTACCCACTGAAGTGCTTTTTCTGCTTCTTGGGAGCTAAGGCATACACAAATATAGAAAGGCAGATGATAAGGTATGAGAGGTTTAAAACTGGATACAAAATGTCTGACATCTTAGGAACAGTTCTTGTATTTACAAACGGATCCTAAATTTTACCAAGAACACATGAAACCACGAATAGCCCTCATTTTAAACACTCCCAGGCTCATTACAACAGGAAATGTCTTTTCTATTATTTTTTTTTTCTTAACACCACTAAAATGTAGTGCTGAAGAAAAAAAAATGAAACTTGTGTTGTAATTTCAGAAAGCAAATGGTTTGCATCTCAGAGATTCCATAACACATAACGGCAGGCCACTCAAGAGGTTAAAAAGATTGCAGCATAGTGAGGTGGAGTAGAAATGACCAAAACCATAAAAATAACCTTCTGAGGAGAGCTGAGCACCTAATTACCCTCCACTTTTAACTTCATCTCTTTAGTGTTTTAGCAAAATTACATAGTACCCTATATGATCAGCTACAAAAATTAGTATAAAAAAAATCCTATGTTCCTGTACTAACATTTCTGAATCGTCTTAAGTAATTGTTCGATCTTAGTCTGGATGATGTTCGGTGCCTGCACCTTTCTATACACCGCTCCTTACACACCATGAGACATTAATTACAGCATGAAACAGGAGGTAAGTGCCATGAATTTGTACAGGACACAGTGGATTCCTCTTCGGTTAAATGCTGGTGAGTTTAATCACAATGGTAGAAGTCTTGTGGCACAGGTTCTATAAACCATTAACTTGATAGCGTAGATGACCACCAAGGTTTGGCAGTCAGGTTTCATTGCTGAAGGTAGGCCCAATGCCATTTGAAAGCACACTAACTGAACAGGGATTTCTTACGCTGCCACGTATTTATTCGGGGCTCTCCTTCATTTTGTAAATATGGCTCAAGTTACCAGTCACTGCACTTTCAATAAACCTCCCCAGTCTGTGGTAGAGAGCATAGAAAGGTTTCTAATGCAGTTAGTGAAAACAGGCAAGTCTCATTCCAGATGTTACCTTAGCTGCCTTACAGCTTTAAACATATGCAGCACTAAGTGGGAGGAAGTATGTGTGGCTGATCTAAGAATGGAGCTTGTTTAGGTGTTTCTGCAGCTTGAGCAGTGCATGGAGACAAATGGAGTAAGTAGATCTTGTCATTGAAGCCATCTTCAAAGAAACCATAAAATCCACCGTAATGTTTTGGTGGATTGCTCATGAAATCTGCAGAACAGAAAACAGAGGTTACAACACATATTACACTTTTAAATCAGATACCCGGATAATTTTACATCCCCCAGTGACTCCACTTTTTTTTACATTTTCCCTTACATGGAATTATCATATTGATCCCAAACCCTTTCATCTATTTTTCTGACTCACTAATACCTGTATTTAGCTGGGCACCCAACTGTGGTTGTTGCCTTGATTTGTTCCAGGGTGTGAGGGATCAAAATTGAAGTCCAAGACACTCTCATCCATCAAGTCATTATTGATTATGTATTCCATATCACACTCCAGGTTTTCAAGAAACAGGTCCATCTCTAAGTCTTTTGGAAGCCGTTCAGAAGATAAACCAAAAGAGGATGGCTTTGGGGACGGCATTGAAGAAGCTGGAGGGAGCCCCAACATTGCAAGTGTGGTAGGTGGAACTAAAGAGGTCAGTGGCACAGAGGGTTGGTCTGGGGTTCTACCCTTGCTCATCATAATTAGGTTCTGCCCTCCGCTTTGAGCCAGCACTGGATCAACCTGTGTCAACATCACATTGCTGGGTGGTGGAGAATCAGATGTAAGGAGGGCTTCAAGAGTCTGAGGCCGTTGAAAGTGACCAGAAGTACCTCTCACAGCAGAAGACTCCACAGGATTGAACAAGGAATTACCAAAAGACATGGCCTGAGGGGGATGCAGAGCAAAACTGGATGTTCCTTGAAGCAATGATTGTGGAGGAGGGAGTGGTGCTCCTGAAGTAAGTAGAGTGAGGCTATCAATTAGTTCCAGCTCCTCTGTGACAGTTGGGGGAACACTGTTTGAGAATGAGAGAGAGGAGTGAAGCTCTTCATCTGCCACATCATCCTGCTCTGTCAAAATTGGGGACAGACGGAGACTGAGATTGCTAGCATTAGATCCGGTACGAGGGCGAAAGCTTGTCCATACATCAGGATCTTCAGAATTCCGTGATGATGGGCTACCAGACCACTTAATGGGTTGCGAATTGGGACTGCCAGCAGGAGGATCACCAGTTACTAGAGACTTTTTCTTGGATACCTTGTTTCGCACTTTGACTAGTTTACTGCTGTTGTCCATGGATGCTGCTCTTCGGCGTGGAGCTTTGCCACTCTTTCCTCCCTCTGGGTTTAGCATCCACCAAGAACTCTTACCAGTGGCCTCATTGTGAACTTTGATGAATTTGCTGTGAAGTGATAAGTTGTGGCGGATCGAATTCTACATGAAGAAGAGAAAAATATATATTTTTTTATAAATCTGACAGGTTTATACATTTTTATTGGTACAGTTGCTAAACTAAGAAACATACCAGGATGGTATTGGTATTATTATAAAATAAAGATTTCCCCTTTGCTACTAGTACTGTTCCAATCCTAGTGCAGCATTTTATATTCATAACTAAAAACGACATTATAATATTTATAATTCTACCTTACTTATATTTTATGTCAGGGCTTCACAAATTTGCTTTGAATCTAGGAGCCCGTTTTTGTCAACGACAAAAATAAAATTCTGAAAGGGACACTATAGTCACCAGAACCACTATAGCTTAATGTAGTGGTTCTGGTATCTATAGCATGTTCCTGGAAGCTTTCCCATGTAAACCCTACATTTTCAGAGAAAAGGCAGTATTTACATTACAGCCTAGTAACACCTCTAGTGGCAGTCACTCAAACAGCCACTAAAGTGTGTCCTATGCAGCACCTTTATTCAGCGTCTCCAAACTCTGCATGTAGCAAAGCCTTTTATCAAGATTGATATAAGTATTTTATTTATTATTTGATACACTCAAATAGATACACAAAGATTCATAGATGCAAACATACAGATCTACACACAGCGAAAGAAAATACATATTTTAACCACCCTCCTGTTTCCTAGGGTGGCATTTCTGGGGTCTAGTGGGACTGAGCACAATCAGGTTACAGTGGACCAGTGCAGGGGAATGGGCGGTGATGCGGGCGACTCTGTGAAATGGGCGTGCGGCGAATAGACACATGGTGCCCTGACAACTTGTCATTCCCCTGCGTGACCTCCCGGCGCACAGAGATCAAGAGACAGGTCGCCCATTGGAACTAAGAATTGTTCTGGTGCCCGGGATTTGTCAAACCGCTTTTTACGTGGGTTTCATTACCTTTAGCTTACACTCATGCAGTTGTAATGCATGATTACTTGATTTTAAAATTCAACCTTTTTTGTGGTCAACTGCCACAGGAGGCTATTACACATGCAATTGACAGCATTATCTTAAAAGTTTGAATATGGAAGTATTTTGAAGTTTAGAACTAGACATGGAACGTGACAAAAGGCAAAGCAAAGGTTAGGAGTCTACACCGATCAGTGAGGTTGACCTGGCATCTATTTTTATCATACCTTGTGCAGCATGGAATTGGCTAGCTCAGTGTAAGGACTTCATTTTAAATAAGTACTCTAAAATACAAAACCAATACCCTGCAATCATGCAAATTGCCACACATAGAAACATAGAATGTGACAGCAGATTCGGCCCATCTAGTCTGCCCAATTTTCTAAATACTTTCATTAGTCCCTGGCCTTATCGTATAGTTAGGACAGCCTTATTCTTTCCCAGACAAAAAGAAACTATTCGGCTGGAGAGAAAATAAAAAATCCAATTAGAAAAAAAGAAAAGCTCACTATGTTGTATCTTGCTGGAACAGCTGTACAGAGAAATAATAATAACTTATAGATCACAGTAATAGATCTAAACTGACTGGATCTTCACTGTATTCTGAAAAAGAAATGGAGAAGCCATAGTGCTCTTTATAAAACAATTGGTTTATTGTAGAAAAGAATAAAAACACTCACAGAAATTTAAATCAAACAGGCATATCTGGAAAAATTTGTGGCTGCAGGATATGGAGACACGTTGGTTAGATGAAATCCTCCCTCTGGCCGGCTGAGAGGAGGTAATCTGCCGAGATCCATTTTGCTGATCTTGGCGTGCGTTCCAAGGCTGCATTCTACTCCAACCCGAAAATAGCGGTTGCCATAAAGCCTTACACGTTTCGTGATTCATCGAATACAATAACCACTAGCACCTATTTATTAGACATGTGCAATTTGTTTCGGTCCGAATGTGAATTTGGACATTCGGGTACTTCTGAATGTCCGAATAGATGAATTGTCGAATGGTCGAAGTCCCAAAGTTACCGAATTTCCGAAGTTGCTGAAGTGCCAAAGTGTAGAAGTTCCGAAGCACAGTATTGCCTAAGAACTAATATACCTACCCAGTGGAAGAATGAAGAATGTTAAACTGTATACAATTTTAAATAAAAAGTATACAAACATAGCCAGGATTCAGCTGTAAGCATTTGCAACACTTACAACAATCAAATAACATACATTCATATAAAATGTAAGTTACTTAATAAGTAGATAACTCCCTAATTCCCACGGTATTAGGGAGCTATCTACTAAAAGACTGAAAGACCTAAACTGGTCTTTCAGCCAAATTTACTAATACTAAGTAAAGATTACTTAGTATTAGTAAATTATGCCCCTACTCGCTATACCGCGAGTAGGGGCATGTCTATTAAACAGTGAGCAGCCAGCTCACTTAAAAAAAAAAAAAAAAAAAGTCCCCCCCTCCAGTGCTCCCCCCCCCCGGCCCCCAACTCCTGAACGGCGGGTGGGTGCCCTACAGTAAAACTAGAGAAGCTACAATTTCTGGGGAAATTGTGTGAAGTGTTCTTGCCTCCACCAGTAGTCTACAACTGGAGTGGGCGGAGTAACTGAGTGGAATGGCTTGAGTAACTGTTGTGTGGTTGGAGTGGCTGGAGCAACTGTGGAAAGGTTGGAGTGTGGTTCACTCACTCTACAGCAAGGGCAGAGAAGAGCTTTCAAATCTTTAAAATCCCTCGAATATCCCACCAACTGCCAACAGGAACTAATAGATTTCAAATAGGGCAGAGAAGAGCGGTTAAAAACAAACTGCTCCAACTTGCTCACTTCACTGGTGGTTGCCATCTTCAAACGGTCGTATTTTAGTATGTCTCTGAAATATTAACAATGAAGGCACAGTCGCAGTTTAGAAATTGCCCTTCAAATTTGAGGTGGCTAGAAAGGAGATTCAATGAATGTCAATGGACGGCGTGAGTTGCAAACAAATGGTCATATTGTGAAAACTATCAGGACTATGGCTTAGCCGTGGACATGTTTAGTGGCAAGAGGGATGCACTGCAGGTCCACAATGCTTTTATGAGAAGCATTAGATTTGACCTAAGATTTTACCAGCATTGTTTGTGTTTTTTGTTTTTTTGAAAATAGGTAGGCAGGTCGCATGTATACAGAGTAAGAAATATGCCAACATTAAAAATATTTATTTTTAATATTAGTGTTCCTTTAAGTAGAAGCAATAAAATCATGCAGGGCCCCCACAAACATCTCAACACGACTTGTTTGTTACCATTTTTTTCAAAGACTATATAGCTAATTGAAGAGGATGAGCAAACAGTGCAATCAAGGTGAATTGTTGGTGTAGGACCCACCTAAGAGGTTTGCCTTGACGTGGCAGGTGGGCTTACATTCTAATGGCCTAAAAACCTCCATTTATCTATATATGCATAGGGATTTGGAATAGTGTGCAAGTAGCTTTTTTCCCCCATTAGTTTTTAGTGTTTACATTACCGCCTATTATCACCTAGTGGCAGTCAGATGGCCACCAAAGGTGCTTCCTGGGTCAGTGTTGCATAGTGTGTAGCAGCTGCATTCAGTATATCCACACTCTGCATAGATACACTGAACTTTCCCCCATAGAGATGCACTGATTCAATGCATCTCTATAAGGAGATGTTGATTGGCGCAGCGTGGTGTTTTTTCCTATGGGAAAGCATTGGATTGGCAGAGATCATCAAGACTTCCCAGCATCGGAGGTGGAGAAAAGGTGCGTAAAATCCCTTTTTCAAAGGGAGGCTGGGGACCTAAAGGAGTTATTTTGTCACTATATTGTCAGGAATACATATACAAAGTAGCAATTACTTCTATTTAGTATGCAACAAAACAGAAAAGATCTTAATCTTCCTGATTGTATTTGTATGTTCTTAAAAGTGGCACTGACACTTCCCTCCCCTACCCTCCAAAATGAGTATTTCATTAAAATATCACCGAAAGATATACTAAGAGAAAGTAAAGACTTTGATATTTATTTTTTTTCTACACGTGACAAAACTAGACAAGTCAGTTTTTTGGTTTTATTGCTCACCTTATCCTACATCCAGGGCCACTGGATACGCAGCAGAGCAGTCACCGTCAGAGGTCTTTGCAAATTATGCAAACACCCCAGAATGTGCCAGAGTCACTTTGACTCCTTAAGGACCAAACTTCTCGAATAAAAGGGAATCATGACATGTCACACATGTCATGTGTCCTTAAGGGGTTAATAGACTATATACCAGAAGTGTGCACAATGTCATATACCTGCCATTGAAAAATTGTAATCACTATTGCATTCAAAACATTGAGCAGTTTTCATTCTTTTTCTCTCCAAATAAAGCACAACAGGCAGTTCAAGGATGCTTATGAGAAAAGGGTGTAAATGCACATGCAAATGGAAAATTAATCTAGGATTGCACGGGCAATGATCGATTGCATCCCTAGGAGACTTCCAAAAATGTATTATATTTAAAAAGAATACGTATTTTAAAACAAATATCTCCGATACATTTTAATAGTAAAAACAGGTTGCACCGATATGAAAACGACTAATAAAACAAAAACAAAGTACATACTATAAATTTAAAAAAAAATACAATAAAAAATAAGCAATATTTATTGCTTATTTATTATTAATATTCATTGAGAATGCTTTCCTATGGACTGGCTGAATGCACGCGCGGCTCTTGCCGTGCATGCGCATTCAGCCGGTGACGTCAGAAGAGGGAGGAGAGTCCCAGCGCCGAGGGAGCCCGGCGCTGGAAAAAAGGTAAGGGATTAACCCCTTCCTCCCCGTTGAGCGCCACGGGAGTGGGACTCTGAGGGTGGGGGCACCCTCAGGGCACTATAGTGCCAGGAAAACAAGTTTGTTTTCCTGGCACTGTAGTGGTCCTTTAAATTTTGCAACTGCTACAAAAGATTTCATTACAGATTTTGTCTTTGAGCTGAAAACAAAGAAGGTAAATATTAATCTAGGACTCACTCAGGAGATTTGATTAGACGCTGTCTGGTGAACTTAAAAATCTATTTTAACCCCTTAAGGACCAGACTTCTGGAATAAAAGGGAATCATGACATGTCACACATGTCATGTGTCCTTAAGGGGTTAAAGCAGCACTGTCATGCCGAACTTACCTTTCTTTAATAGATTCCTATTCTCTCCCTCTCTCAGGATCTGTTCTTTATTTCTTCCTGTCTGCTCAAGTTTTCTTTAAGACAAAGTAGGGACTACCTTGTCTTATGGAGGTTTCCTACACCTGACCAGCGGTGGAGCAAAGTGCGGTGATCAAAGCAATTGTCCAACAATTCTCACCTTTGATCCATGATATTGCGATGCTTCCTGTCAGTATTCCCGAATGTCCTGTCACTTAGACCGAACGCCGGCGAAACTACCGAATTGCGTCCTAACAGAATGAGAACAGTTTGTTAATTCATGTTAGGACGTAATTCGGGACTTTGTTCGTATCGGAATTTCATTCTAATGAATGAAACTCTCATCCTATTGCAGCTGCTAGGTAGATAGCTCCCAAATGACGTGGGAATTAGGGAGCTATCTACTAATACTAAGTATAAATTACTTAGTGTTAGTAAAATCTGCCCCTACTTGCTATACCGCGAGTAGGGGCATGTCTAGTAAACAGCTGCTCACTGTTAAACTAAAAAAATAAAAAGTTTTTTTTTTTTTTTTAATGTTATTTTCAAAGTGCAACGGGTATTATGGACTTTTATTTGGCCTTTTTGGGGCTGAAAAAAGACATCAAATGGTAAGTTTTATTTAGTTTTTACAGGTACTTAGTTCTCTTGTTCCCCCTCACTATTTTTAGGGTGAGGGGGGTAGGTAGGGGTTTATTCATTTTTTTTGGGTAGGGTGGTGACTAGGGGCTTGGGGACCCCTAGTCACCTGGAGGGGGTTAACATTTTCATTTAGGGCCCACAGCCGCCGCAATAGGTCCCTGTTCAGTTTAATAGCCCCCACTTGCGCGGCACAGGAGGGGCGACACTAGGGTTTGTTTTTTTTCTTTCTAACAGTGAGACATGTCCCTACTCGCAGTATAGCGAGTACTGGCAGAATTTACTAACACTAAGTAATCTTTGCTTTGTATTAGTAAATTTGGCTGAAAGACCAATTTAGGTCTTTCAGACTTTTGGTAGATGGGTCCCTGATACCATGGGAATTAGGGAGCCATCTACTAAGCGGCTGCAAGATGCAGCCGTGGCAGGAATAGGATCGGAGTTTAATTTATTAGAATGAAATTCCGATACGAACAAAGTCCCAAATTGCGTCATAACATGAATAAACAAATTGTTCTCTTTCTGTTAGGATGCAATTCGGTAGTTTCGCCAGCGTTCTGTCTAAGTGACAGGACGTTTGGGAATACTGATGGAAAGCATCGCTAGATCACAGATCAAAGGTGAGAATTGTGGGAAAATTGCTTTGATCACCGTAAACAAAGCACACTTTGCTCCTCTGCTGGTCAAGTGTAGGAAACCTCCATAAGAAAAAGTAGTCCATACTTTCAAAGAACAGATCCTGACAGAGGGAGAGAAGAGGAATCGATTAAAGAAAGGTAAGTTCAGCATGACAATGACGTTTTAAGTGTATATTGGAGATCACGTACTGTTACTTTATCATTTATTTTGTTTATACATTGGATCCAAATTCTGTAGTCTATATGGAAACCCAGGAATGATGGGAGTTAAAGGGTAGGACTAATATTTGTTTATAAATATCAGAGAGAGAGAGGGCCATAACTATTTTGCATCCTTACAAAGGTATTATTATAGAGCTGGGCTGGACAAATTGTAGAATCCCAGATATCGTAGGACTACATTACATCTGCCATTACACTTTGTCAAAGCATTGTCAGTTGCAGTTCTACAACATCTTGGAATCTACCAGTGATCCACCATTGTGATAAGGGATGCACCGAAACCGAAAATTCAGGATGCCCTTAGGCCGAAAATTACTTTGTTACCCAAATTATTATTTGTTTTTTGAAAGTTTTTTTTAAAAGCTATATTTTTTTAAATTCTTTATTTGTCTGTGCACAAGATGATACAGGAGGTCGTGTCGCCACGACAACATTTGCATAAAATAGGAACAACAAAAGGAAAGACATATACATAGCATGTAACAGAGGCACAGTTTTGATATTACGTTAACTTGCAGATAGTGGTGTTGCGTAGTAGGGGTCTGCATTAGTCGTGCGGTCAAGCCAAGGTTGTTTGAGACTGTCCACATGAGCTGGTATAGGGCTAGTGACCTTGTGGGTTATAACTACGTGCCCAGTAGCCTAGCCTGTTCGTCCCTTCAGACGGGCTATGGGATTAAGGCCGTTTCAATTATGTGCTATGGGTTTTGAAGAGTAGTTATGATCGAAGTCGCAGGTGGTGGGGCTGGACAATGGCTCCCTCTCGCTAATGGGGGTCGCGCTGTGTGCTTCCAACAGCGTTAGTATGAATCCCCTTTATTGGTCACTGGTGCTATTATCTATGTCCGTTCAGTTTTCGCCTCTACCCCACCCCCCCCTCTACTAAAATGCCCTTTGTAGCCGGGTGACAAGGCTGCTGTTAGCTTCCTAAAGCGATCTATGCTTATGGGTGCTATCTGTGTGTGATAGCGGGCCCCCTGAGGAAACAGGGGCCAAAGAGAGTAAGAGAGATGGAGGAAGAAAAAGATAGTAATAGAGCATGAGAGGGAGGGAGGGGCGATGCCCCAGCTCCAGGCAGGCGGGCCGGGGGAGGAGGGGGACGGGAAGGGACAGCAGGGGCAGGAAGGTGAGGAGGGCAGTGGCCCGCACCAACCGCACCCCGCTCAGTCTGCAAATTGGCTCCCTTTCCAGAACCCCCGAGTTCTCTTAAACCTCCCCTGCGTACCCTGTACCCTAGCAGTAAGGTCGTCCATGAGGCAGTTGTCTTTTATCTTATCACCACTGATCTGGAAGGTGGCTGGGTTTTTAGCCAGTGTTGTGCAATAGCTCTACGGGCGGCTAACGTAATTTTATGGAGTAGTCGCTGGTCCTGTCTCGGCCAATCCTCTATTGACCTGAGGTATATCCATGGGTCCAGGGGGGGGGGCCTCTGGAAAACTTGCTCTATTATGTCTCCAACATCTTTCCAAAACAGTCTGATCTTAGGGCACTCCCACCACATATGGGCGTACGTACCCCTGAGGCCGCAGTTCCTCCAGCACAGGAATATTCGACTTTTTAATGAATTTAATTTAATATGAAAAACTTCCCTTCTTTTAGTGGTCCCCCCGCTTTATGTTCCTCTCCCCTCCCTCTTTTTTAGTGTTCTTTCCCTCTTCCTCCCCAGTCCCATAGTGTTCTCCCCCCTTCCTCCCCTGTCTTAGTGTTCTTCCCCCCCCTTCCTCCCCGTCTTATAGTGTTCTCCCCTCCCCCCTTCCTCCCCTGTCTTATAGTGTTCTCTCCTACCCCGTCTTGTAGTGAATAGTGTGATGTTTCGTGCCTAATAATTGCAGCAATTTGCTACCATTCTACCCCTGCCATTCTAACATCAAGGTATCATTTTACCTCCTATTTACCTGCTATACAAGAGGTTCTGCAGGCTTTGCAAGCTCTTAAAGGATCACTATAGGGTCAGGAACACAAACATCTAGGCCCCTCATGCCTCCATAAATATAGAAAAATCTTACTGTATTCAAGCCTGAAGCTGTAGATCTGAATGCTGTTTGCCTCAGAAAAACAAGCTGTCTGCTGACATCAGGAGTGGTGGCCTGATCTAATCACATTGCTTCCTCATAGGATTGGCTGAGACTGACAAGGAGGCATATGGGGCAGAGCCAGCATGATTCAAACACAGCCCTGGCCAATCAGCATCTCCTCATAGAGATGAATTGAATCAAATCAATGAATCCGTTTGCGGAAAGTTCAGTGTCTGCATGCAAAGGGAGGAGATACTGAGTATTTGGATGCATTTTAGGAAGCCATGACCCAGGAAGGATCTCTAACAGCCATCTGAGGAGTGGCCAGTGAAGTTATCCCTAGGCTGTAAAGCAAACACTGCAAAGACAGTGTTTACAGCAAAAAGCCTGAAGGTAATGATTCTACTCACCAGAACAAATGCAATAAGCTGTAGTTGTTCTGGTGACTATAGTGTCCCTTTAAGATACAAGCCAAAATGAATACATGCATGAAAAACTAGTGTATGTATTCATTTTGGGCATATCTACTAAACAGTGTTTTGTATATAAATTTTGCCCACTTGGGCAGTGGAGTGCTTGTCTGTTTTCAGGCCCTTCAATATAGGTCACTATGGCTATTATACAGTTAGAATGCAAATATATACATTAAATAACAATCCAAACTCCAGTGTTCCTTTAAGCTAGAGTATAACTTTAAAGGAAAGTGGGGTGAGGTATGGATGCAGTTCCCCTGACATTTTAGTCCTAAATTGCAGTTTTTTATATAAATATGGCAATGTTTTAATTGCAGGGACAACCACCGCTAGTGGCTGTCTTCCTGGCAGGCAGATTGGATGGTTTCAGGCCCTGGATCTCTGCTTTGTAAAAAAACAAAACAAAAAAAAAAAAAATCTAAAAGAGTGAGTTTAACATTCTAGCATTCTGAATACATAATTTAAATGTTACTTTTATCCTTTTAGATAGACCTGAGCAAGGATGGTTGGCTACACAAGTGAAGCTGCATTTTGCCTTCCTCCTCCAAATATATGTCTGTCTTGACTCTTAAAACGGTTTGTTTGCATATATTTTCATGTTTTGTGTATTCTATCCCCTTTAATGTATCTTATATCACCTTTTGCGTGTCTCTTAAACTGTGAGCAGTTTCTTTTTACACATGTATGAATTACAAGCAGTGGAGAAGGCTGCCATGAAAAAGGACAGACCACTAACTGGAAAAGAAAGGCAGTTGGGTATGTTACTTTATAAAGATACAGGTGTAGCACTGACACTTATTTTCCTTATCTTCAAATGTGGCTCTAGCTGGTAAACTTAAAACGGAGGTGAACTCTGCAAGTCTGTTTAAAGCGATTTACCACAAACCACAAAACAGGAGGGAGGGATGGGCATGTGGGGACAGCCGTTAACACCATAACCTGGAGCACAAACAGATAGCATTCTGTGTTTAGATGTGCAGCAAGTAGAACTACCTGTCTAGGAATATTCAGCTCAGAGGTTAAATACATGTATACGTGTATAACAGTACTGTGCATGTGTGGGATTGTATCAACTATTAGCAAGATAGATCAGCATATGTTAACATAAACAATTTTCAGGATTAGTTTTGTTAAGTGTTATAACACCCACTCTTTATGCAAAAATAATATATAGTTTTACCTACCTCATACGTGCCAGACTTGTTGCTATTGCCATAGATCATAAATATGGATCTCAGCCAATGCAATGCTCCCACACAAGGATGCATTGAGGACTAGTGCGCATGCACAGAAATCCATCTCTACGGGGAGCGTTAGTCATGACAAGACCAAACATTGGTCCTGTAATTTTTACACGATCTCATTTAGAAAGTCCCTCTGGTGGCTGTCTGAGCGACTGCTGCTAGAGGTGACATTAGGGGCAGTAGTGCAAACTCTGCCTTTTTCTTAAAAATTCCAGTGTTTACACTGCTAAGCCTGCAGGGACAATCTGTTTGGCCCAGAACCACTTCAATAAGCTCTAGTGGTTTGGGTGTCTAAAGAGTTTAACCTACACCAACACAAACTAAAATTACTTGTATCATTCTCACGCAAACAATATGTACTCCTGGGTGTGTGTGTGTAATGCCACTGTCTGAAGCATTCACCCCGCTCGCTCGGTCCCTCTGCAAACTGCAGTCTAAGCCTGCTCCGCTCCCTCCCTAGTCCCTCTGCAATCTCCAGACAGAGTATTGTGTGGTAGCACACTCCACTCTCTTCTACCCCCCTTCCATCCATGTCTTCCTCCCTTCCAAATCTCTCCCCCACGTCTCCCTCCCTTCCAAATCTCTCCCCCACGTCTCCACCCATTCCATATCTCCCTCCCTAACACTTCAATTCACACCTCCCAGAGCCGCGGCCCGAGGTGTTGGAAGCGCCCTGCCCTATTGATAGATGCCCCCTCCCTGCTGTTTCTCGCCTGACATAGCAGAAGAGGGGGCTCTCAGGCTCCGGCAGTGCACGGCATAAGACTGAGCGCCAGGTAGTCACGAGACACCCAGCGCCCCCCCCTCCCACTGTATTGTGCGTGCAGTTCCCTTACGGAGCCACTTGTGAACAGAAGAAACTAACCACTTGGCTTATTTTTAACCCCCCAGATTGGTTGGGCCGCAATGAAATTCATCGTGGGTTGCGAGTTTGACATCTTTGATGTAAAACTAACATTTTGGATCTGGACGACGCTTTTGGGCAGGGTCAGTCTTATGTGCAATTGCCTAGCTTCCCTTTGTAATGGCACAAGATGAGTTAAAACTAGGTTGAAATCTGAGCCAGGACCCACAGTAGAGCAAGCTACTTGAACGGTTGTCTGTTCTCAATATTGTCTTGCAACCTGTTTGTTTTTTGTTTTTTTTTGCTCTGCCCGAGTTTAAAGGGTGATCCAGACATGGACCCCTTGCTCACGGTGCCTATGGGGGTTATCAGCTATATTTCACTGGCCAGCATTTCAGATCTGGACTTCCCTATTAAGTGGGATCAGTTTGATATGCAAATAGCCTAGATAGTATGGAACAAGATGGGCTAAAACCAGCATTATATCTGAGCTGTGACCCAGCCTAGGGAAAGCTACTTAAGGTGTTGTCCATTTTCAGTATTATCTTACACTTTATTAATAAAACAATCGTTTTTCTATACTGAGAATTAAAGATTACATGTAATATAGCCACCTTGTGAATTATTTTAAAGAAACACTATAGTCACCTAAATTACTTTAGCTAAATAAAGCAGTTTTAGTGTATAGATCATTCCCCTGCAATTTCACTGCTCAATTCACTGTCATTTAGGAGTTAAATCACTTTGTTTCTGTTTATGCAGCCCTAGCCACACCTCCCCTGGCTATGATTGACAGAGCCAGCATGAAAAAAAAAAAACTGGTTTCACTTTCAAACAGATGTAATTTACCTTAAATAATTGGATCTCAATCTCTAAATTGAACTTTAATCACAAACAGGAGGCTCTTGCATGGTCCAGCAAGCTATTAACATAGCAGGGGATAAGAAAATCTTAATTAAAACAGAACTTACAATAAAGAAAGCCTACATAGGGCTCTCTTTACAGGAAGTGTTTATGGAAGGCTGTGCAAGTCACAGGCAGGGAGGTGTGACTAGGGTTCAGAAACAAAGGGATTTAACTCCTAAATGGCAGAGGATTGAGCAGTGAGGCTGCAGGGGCATGTTCTATACACCAAAACTGCTTCATTACGCTAAAGTTGTTCAGTGACTATAGTGTCCCTTTAATATAAATATTAACACTTTTCTGTGCATTACCTAGCTTACCTATGCTCCATGATAGAGGACAATGTTGGCTGTACCTCTTACCAGCTAAGATCATACACATTTTGAGTAGCGATTTGTGCAGTACAGGATTTGGAAGCACACACCAGAGTTTGGTTATGTCAGGGTTTATGGTCAGATAAACTGTACTTCTGATCAAATTGTATTTAAAGATCCAAATAAAGTAATTGAAAGTCTGCAGCTACACCGAACAGAAGTATTTACATATAGCTCATTACTGTATTATACATAGCTAATTTTCCTTACCACTTTGTTCTTTTAACTTTAATTTTTTGTATATTACTGTTTTACCTCTTCAGTGTAGAGCACTGAAGAATGTTAGAGCTATAGAAATAACATACGCACTAAAAAATAATACACAAAGAACCTATACATGTAATCTTTAATTTTAAATAGCAAATTCTACAGGTTGGTTTTTTTTAAATTTATTTTATTTTTTTTAAAAAGATAAGAACCGACAAAGTTTTGTAAATAAAATGAATATTCAGTCAATACGTACAAAATGTAGCTGCTCATTTTGGTTATGTTTCCGTTAGGAATTGTATTTACATATGCCACTGAAAAGCAAGTAAATGCAAAGGGTGGTATATTAAGCTCAGGAAGAGAAAATTGTAATGGGTGAGGGGGGAACAAATCTTTGTTACATGAGAGAACACAATATGAATGTGAAGCATGTCATGATTAATTAAGGAATTTGTAAATAATAAACCAAAGAGGATAGCACCACTGTTTTTCACATTCATCGCTTCCATCCATGTTGTTCTTCTGCTCCAGAATACGCTTATGGCAACTTCATCTGTCAGGTGCATACCAATGAGAAAGGCAAAGCCTTATGGGAAATGGCAGAAGTGGTTTCTAGCTCCACCCTTTGCCACAACTTGTTACTTACATTTATCAAAAATTCCATAATTTGTCTAGTTTAAATCTTCTAATTGCATTGTAATTTCAATTAAATTCCAATACAGTGTTTTAATAAACATCTTACTTTTAGGAAAAAGTAAAGTGACAGGAGCACTTTCAATATACCAAAAAAATAAAAATTATTCCACTCATGTGGCACCCTTGTTTTTAATAGTCTATATGTTCAAAATATCCTGCTAAATTGAAGGCAACTATTCATGAGCTGCACATTACAAAATAAAAATTGGGTAGCTGATTTGGAATTCCTCATTGCTGTTAGAGGATTCAAATATGGCTTCTCAATTACAATAGTATACCCTGACTGTCCTTTAATATCAACATTAATCCATCTTCTCTTGTGGGACATATATCCATACCTATGAACATGTTTTATATAGCAAACAAATGGAAGCACTAGTGCATTTATTTTAGGAGAATGCAAATTTTGAACAAAATTACAAATTGTTAGTATGGTATGATATTCTGAAAAGTTATTACACCGTATTCAAGTTTGAGGTCTGGATGCCACCTAGTAGTGTGTATGTTCCATATGCAAAGCTTTGCTGCAAAAGATTCTGATTCAGCGCATGGATACAGCAAAAACTTGTGTTTCTGCTGGTGTTGGTGTGAGAACACAACAGTCCTTTTAAAGCATATGTTAATATATGAATGATAAAGAATTGACACCAACTAATCTATGTCTGCTTCCTTGCTCAGACTACTATGAGATGCTTCCCTGTCCCCTTAACCCCTTAAGGACACATGACATGTGTGACATGTCATGATTCCCTTTTATTACAGACGTTTGGTCCTTAAGGGGTTAATAGAGAATGGATCTAGAGAGACAGACCCTCAGGAGTCTGTCAGAACTAATCTACTAATAGTTACCTGCCATAGACAGGTCCACTAAAGATGTAATTTAACCCTTCTGCCCCAACTGATATTTAAGACACCTTCACCATGTTCTCTGTCCGAGTCAGATTTCCCACCAGGGGCACTTAACCCTTAGCTGTCAGAAAGGCATAATTTTAATATTTATATTGACACTATAGTCACCAGAAGAACTATAGCTTATTATATTTGTTCTGGTGAGTAAAGTTAAACATCCAGTGTCTTCACTCTCTGCATGGAGACACTGAACTTTCCTTAGAGAGATGCAATGATTCAATGCATCTATGAAGATATGCTGATTGGCCAAGGCAGAGTTTGGCTCTACCCCTCTCCCTGTATTTGTCTAACATGTGACAACTTTCCAATCAGACACTGACATTGACAATTATTTAAATCCTGCCAGAGAGAGACCCTCTGAAAAGTGACCACTTTAGTGAGATATCATGTTACCGACATTTGACCCCTTCCCTGTCAAATGTCTTTGGAGATTGTAATTCTGTGCAATAGTATATGTGGTTGTATCAATATATTACACTAAAAAGTGATCTACCAGGCTACTACTACTTCATAAATTAATTTTGCTAACATTTAAAGTTTATTTTGAAACTATCGTGAAAAAGTCATTATGTAGAAAAGATGGCAAGACACTTGCTACAGTTAGAACACAAAGCAGACACTTCCCTGTATTAGGCAACCTTGCTCTACTCTTAAGTGATGAGCAACTGTTGCCCAGAGCTATCTTAACGTATAAGCACGTTGGGCAGGTGCCCGGAGGCCCTAAAAGTAGAGGCCCCCATAGCCATGCATAGTAGTGACTCACAACAGGGGATTATTCCCATGTGCCTGCAGTTGAACTTGGAAGCAGACTGTAGAATGGGGGCGCTCTGCAAGAGGGGGGGCCCACAGCAGAAGTAGTATTGGAGCACCTCCTCTGCCCACCTGGTATACTGGCACATGCCAGAACAGCACAAGGGCACAGCATCCACGTGCTGCTGCCCTATCCTTTGCTTGGACAAGTAGCAAAGGAATGGAAGCATGACCTGAGTCGTGAGAGGAGGTACCACGCTGATAGAATTGGCCTGCTTTCAATGCCACCAATATGTGAGGAATGTTTGCTGTGTATGTGCATTTGTTGGATGTACCAATAAACATAAGCTTAATTTTATCGATAATTTACATTTTTTTAGTCCTGCGAGTAGATAGATTCTGCTGCCCAGAAAATAGGCCCCAATGGTAGGATTTTTTTTCTCCAGCATGATAACCAATACATTAAAGCCCTATCCGAATTACCTTCCAGCCTGCAGAGCTGTTGCTGTCACCCTTGTCTTTGAAGTAAGGAATGGACTTCACCATCCAGTCATAGATCTGAGACAGGGTCAGTCTTTTCTCAGGGGAGCTCTCTATGGCCTGGCTGATAAGTTCTGCATAAGACTGGTTGCCCCATGCGTTCCTCCTAGACCCCCCCTTCCTGGGGGTCACTCCACCGCTGCCAGTCAACCCATCTGACAGTGCCCTCTCCTCCCCTTCTGGAGACATCAGAGAAGGGGCATCGGGGGTCTCTGTCCTGTTTTCGTCATTGGGGGCTGCTGGCTGGACCACTGACAGTTCGGGTCTGGGAAGGGGCCACGTGCAAGACCTGGGCCGAGCCTGGGGCTCGAAATCCGGATCGATGTCCACGGGTGCGGGTTCAGTTCCCTCCATTATGGGGTGCGAGCAGAACACTAACAGTAACCCTGGCCTTAACAATCACTGTCCCCCTGGGAGAGGGGAGGGGGGTCTACAAGCAGACCCTCTGAGCAGGTAATGTCCTAATCCCAGCCCGGCTCGGAGTGGATGGGCCCCTGACCGCCCGCAGCCCCCATCACTCGGTAGGGGCTCCAGCTGCGCCGAGCCTTGCACAGTGCCCCTCGGTGGGATCGTGCCCGAGCCCGGGTTGGGTGGGAGGGAGGCCCGCTCCTGCCGGTCTCTGTGTAATCAAGCCTTCGCTGCCGGTTCCGCCGGGTGAGTGTCACTTTTCCTTTTGTTTTGGGCACCGCAAAACTTCTCGCTGACGTCTCTGTTTACCAAGAGCGGCGGAGAGCTAGTGGCGCAGGCGCGTCATGACGTCGGCGGGAGGACGCCGTGCGGCGCGCGAAGCACGCCGGGACACGGAGTTCGCCGGTTGCCATGTACAACGCGTTAAGCACTGACAGGACTACATGTACCGGCAGGCGGTGGGCTCGCTAGAAATGTCGGACCTGACGCTGCGATGCTGGTTAAAACTAGCGCTTCCAGAGATGTGTAAAGAGGGGGGCGGAGCTTGAGGGCTGAGGGTTATGTAAGAGTGAGGAGTTGCCAGGGTGGGCGAGTAGGAGGCGTGACCTGTGTTACTATAGGTCAGAGGATGACACCCTTAATAACACGAGCGTGTCAGCCTGTCAGTGGGCGTGGGGTGATATTACTGTGTGCTTATAGTAAATACAACACAACAATACTGCTACAGGTCTCCCAGCGGGATATATAGTGGGGCTGCTCACTGTCATTCAAAGTTTAGGATGCAGTGAATAATTGTCAGATTATAACACACATAGCATGGGGTTTTATATATATATATAGAAATAAAATAATGATAGCACCCCAAGAACTTCGAAAATATTGTGAAAAAAACGTATTATTATTATTCAGGCATCTGCCACAGAAGATCAACGTTTCAGTTCTCTAATCAACTTTGGTCAGGATGAAACGTTGATCTTCTGTGGCAGATGCCTGAATAAAAGCTAAGTTTTTTCACGATATTTTCAAAGTCCTTGGAGTGCTATTATTACTCTATTTCTATTATTTGGCTGTTAAGCACCGGGTTTTTTACTATTAATCCAGGAGTGCAAGCAATTGGAACTTTATATATTAATTTTTTATTTTTTTTTAAGTAGAAGATTTACAAGAAAGTGCAAGGTACACCGGTGCATAATGTATATTGCGTACATTGCCAAACAACAAAATATGCTTAAATGCAGCAACAAGGTTTACCTATGAGGTAGTGAAGTATTTGAGGTAGTGAATGAAAGCCACCCTTTCTTTTCTGTGTCCCATGGTGAAAGGATAAATGCTGTTCTGGACTCAACTCCCCTCGATTCTCGCTCCTTCGATCACCACATCAATTGATGGGAGATCTTGTTTAGCAAATAAGACACACAGACACGAAATAGTGCATAACAAGTTCTCAATGAGTATATTTTCAGGGCTAGCATTTATACACAATTTCTCATGCAAGCAGTGAAGTCTATAGTGTCCTTGTGGTTAATAGTACATACTTGTCGGACATGAAAAAGATAAGCATTTGGATGAAGACGAGACAGGAACATCCTAAGGTCAAGGAAGGTCATACATCCTGTAGAGGAAAGACCTTGCTACAAAATACATCTGCCAAAGTCAGCATAATTATTTCAAACATTATTTTAAAGCATATAAAGCAAAAAGAGTTAACCATTTCACTTCCTTACATCCCCCTCTTTGAGCAATTAATTTGCTCATATCATTGATAAGATCTTCCCAGGTCAGAGAAACTTCCACATGGTATTTTCAGGGGTGCTAGTCACTCCCTGCGGGACTTTCATTAATTTCTTCACCTCGATTCCCATGTGGTAATTCCTAAGGCCCAGTTTTAAAGATGGGTTGATAGCCTCCAGTGGCAGAGAGGAGAATTTCCAATTGTTTCTGTTCTGCATTATGGATTAATTTCTGTATTCTCTTCCTCAATGTACAAGTAAGATGGCAGTTATATAAAATCATACCCAATACAATCAGGACTATAATAACAAGAGGATAGAAGAATGATTTCATTATCTGGGATCCAGTAGGGGACCAACCTGTAAAAGCATCGTACCAATGATGGGCTAAATCATTCTGAATTTGTGAACTCACCTTAAGGAGTTCTCCTTTTAGGATATGTGTGGCTACCTGTGTGTGTACTATAGCATCATTATGTGTAACAAGATGTTTAAACATATTTTGTTTTCCTTTCATTAAGGAGACAATAGTCTCAAGAGGTAGATGGTAATCTTTAAAAGGCAGAGAGCCTAATAGGGCATTAATATGTTTGTCTAAAGTGATTGTGTCGCTGAAATAATATTGGGTGTCATTAAGATCTAACCAGGTAACATTAGTCAAACATCCTGAAAAGGGGAGAGGTAGATTAATACTTGTATTACTAGTAATTATCTTTGTAGGGAGGTTAGTTGCCAAACAGATATGTCGTGTGCTTATTTCAGTCATGGTAAAATAATTTTCAGGATATATGTGCCATATGCACTTGTTAAGTTCATTTTGGAGTAAGCATGGTTCATAAATAGGGGACGAGTGTCGACATGCATATCCTTTGTCAGTGAGAACACAGTGTTTAAGGGAATAGGTCATATTATCTTTGGGGAAAATATAGTCCCCTGTGTATGTGGGTGCCCACCAGGTTAAATTCCTGGTAAAGAGATCATAAACTGGTACTGGTAATGTGTTAAATTGACAAGCTAATTTAACATCCTTTGATGATGTATGATATAGTGTAAAATAGCATGAGCATGAAAAATGTGAAACATTACCAGTTAACCATTCATTGCATTTAGTGGATTGGGGTTTTAGAAGTAACCATTCATTATCTGTGAGGTCAAGCATCCCTCTAATCTTCTCTAGTTTAGGAATCATTAGTGTGTCTTCTAATGCCAGTCTTTGTTGTTGCATCCATAAATACCTGATGGCACAAGTACTCCAGTTACCAAGATCTGTAGTGAATTTCATAGTTGCAACAGTTAAATTACCTAAATAGTTATACATTGATGTATCTAAATCCAATCCTGTAACCTGTGATTTAACAACAATTGGAGCCCAGTTTGCAGTAGCATGGAAACCAGTCCCTATATGCATGCTGGCCGTGTTTAACTTATTCTTGAGGGTCTCCATGTCTATACTATTTAGTATACCCATAGTGGTTCCAGCACCTCCTAACAGTGTGTCATACCATTCCCTTTTCTGCCTTTTGTTTGCTGTGTTACATATTGTTACAACAGGAGTAGTGATTTTTAATGACACATGTACAGCTTGTAAGAAGGCAGTTGTATTAACACATGTGGACGGAATAGGTGTGTGTGTGTCGTGGTTGACTTTTGGTTCTATGATAGTGGATGAAGGACAGTAATAAGGTGTAAAAATATAAGATAGTGTACAGTTCTCAATCACAGTGTCATTCATAATGACTAACATTTGTCCCCTTTTCCAATTAATGGTACCAGTTGTATAATCATTATTAAAAATAATAAGGCCTGTCTGTTTACATTGATATGCAACCTTACTAATTTTCTTATAATATATATCCCAAACCTGTTTAGGTGTTTGTTTTTTTTACCATCAGAACTTATATTAAATAAGGTGGCACAGATGCTGGTGTAATTAGCAACCTTAACTGTGCACATTTCTGCGTTATAAGATCTAACAATTTTCCGTGAACCTTCAAACAAACATAATGCATCGGTTTCATTAGCTGTGGACACATTCCATATGGGTAACTGGTACTTATAAGGGTTATTATTTATCCAGTTCATCCATATGTGTTCAGTCAATGAGTGCTTGCATATTACATGCTGATAGATAGGTGGTGGAGAAAGGTTCTTGAGGGAGCGTGTGTGACGAGTGCTAGATGAGGGGCTAAGGCCTAATTGGGCTGGGGGTATTGAAGAATTGTTCATCATGTCAGAGTCATTTCTCCAGAAACAAACAGGTTTCAAACTTCCCATTGACTTGTACTCATAATGGCATTCAAGGAATAATATCAGAGGGAGTATAACAACTCCAGAAAGCATAGCGCACAACATAATCTTGGTCTCAGGTTCGTATGATCCTCTCAATCTACGATATGGTGTGAAAGCCATGATGCTTTGCTAAGGGGAAATTCTTCTCTTTCCGAGTGAGGAGTGGTGTTGTCTTCCTTGGTTCCCCTCTTTGGACACAGCTTCACTCGGGATGCGTGAATCCAGATGTCGTGGGAATCTGTGAGGACAGCGGTTCTGGTTACAGCAATCACAGTAGCAGGTGGTCCGAAAGGGTATCCTCCTTTCTTGGTCCTATTCAGCTGACGGATATACACCTTGTCACCAGGCTGGTATGGATGAGTAGGTTCCTGTGAAGGTAAGGGAAACTGCGAAGAAACATTGCCATATATACCATTCAGTTTTATCAACAATTCCTGTACATATTGTTCTTGTATTAGCTGTAAATCCCCAGACATTATAACAAGCGGTTCCCTGGCCCAGGGTGTGGGAAAAGGTCGTCCCATCAGAATCTCAAATGGAGATAATTTAGTCACCTTGTGAGGAGTCATTCTTATCTCAGCTAAAATAGCTGGAAGATATTTTGTCCAATTTACCCATGTTCCTGCAGTAGCTTTCATAAGCTTCTCCTTAATGGTCCTATTCATCCTTTCAACTACCCCTGAACTCTGTGGATGATAGGGTATATGAAACTTCCAGGTAACTTGCAAGAATTTAGCAAGTTCCTGGGTAACCTTACTAGTAAAAGCCGGGCCATTATCAGAGTTAATCTGCAGAGGGCAGCCATACCTGGGAATAATTTCAGTAGCAAGAATCTTCACTACCGTCCTAGCATCCTCCCTAGATGTCACAAAGGCCTCAGGCCATCTACTAAACTGATCAACTATGACCAGTAAGTATTGCTGTTTCTTACCAATTTTGGGTACATGAGTAAAATCAATCTGTAAGTGTGTAAAAGGAGCAGCTGGAGGGGGCAAATGTTCGTGCTGTGATTTGTGTGGAATATTCGGATGTGTTCTCATACATGGTTCACACAATCTAACAAAAGACTGTACATGCTGCCTGAGATTCCTAATATAAAATGAATTCATGAGGAATTGGATGGTACTTGCTATGCTCTTGTGGCCAGGACCATGGGCCTGACTGATAAAGATAAAACAGCTGGTTTTAGTTTGGCTTTGTAAGGGGTGCAGTTGACAAATCCTACATCTAACTTAGATGAAGCCCACACAGAAGAAGGAACATCAGACAAATCAATAGTTTCAGAACACAACATAGACACATCAATACCACCAGAGGGCGTGCAAATAATAGTAGCTCCCAGAATACCAAGAAGATCCCTTCCCAGCAAATTGACAGGACATTTAGATATTAAACGAAAAGGGTGCACGGTAGAAGAACCATTAAGAGGACAAAAAACAGACAGTGGTGGTGTGACAAAAGTGGGGGTTGACACTCCATTAATACCCAATGAAGGTGAAGACTTTTCCCTTGTCCCCTGATAATAGGTATCACAGAGACTGGAACACGTAGCTCCAGTATCTACCAAAAATGGCAAGGATCTACCTTCTATGACCAGAATACAAAAAGGCTGATCATCATTAGTAGAGGACAAAAGTGGAAAAGTTGGAGTGTCACCTTCAAGGCAGCCCTATTGGGGCCATGGGATGTGATGGGTGTGCTGGTCAGTGGTACCTGTGAATGGCCCTAATGCAGTTTGGGTTTGCTGGAGGGGGGGAAGAGGGAAGTGCTGGCCAGTGGTGTTGGGAGTGGGCCTGGTGTTGTTCTTGCCTACCGGGCGTATTTTGATAATTGTGGGGTTGTTGGGGCTGCTGGGGTTTCCTGGGGTGTGGACACTGATTCCTCCAGTGACCATGCTGGCCACAGTTGAAACAAGTGTTCCTGTCTATTCCTCCTTGGTTACCCCTGCCCCTATAACCCTGATTTACCTGTCTCCATCCCCTTGCCCCTCTTTGACCACCCCTTCCACAGGCTCTATGTGCTCCATCCCATCCTCTCTCTCGGGCCTGTGTAGGTGGACAGTGTTGCAATCCCTGAGCATAATAAGCAACCTTACTTCCTGAATCTTTTCTTAAATCAAAACAACCTGCATTTTCCTTCTCAATAACCTTGGTAAGAAAATCTGAGCCACCCAAATTGGCCCAGTCTGAAATCAAGCAAAGAATACTGTGGCAACATATTACCAAGGCATGACTGTATTTTAAGGAGATCCATATCTTCTCCAGACTTCAAACCTGCCTCATCCTTCCAACACTTGTAAAATCTCTTTACAAAAACACCAATCTCTTCCTTTGCACCTTGCTTACATGCAAAAGCAGTGGATATAGACTGCTTATTCTTCCATAATCTCAACATTTCAGCTTCCACCTCATCCCACATTTTAGCACATCCTGCTGAAGTACTAAGCTCATAAACACCATCACTGCCAGCCACTCCAACTCCAGTACCGTTATCTGTCTCACTGATAGAGGGTACATTAGACCAATTCCAACCAGAATCTGAATCATACCCTAATATTCCATTTATAATTAACTGTATGTCTATCTGTGTCATGTTCTGTCCTAAACACATTCTTTTCAGATACATTAGGCATGCAGAGGGATTAGTACGGGTGTTTGGGGTACCTTGAATAATATCCTTGAGTACTCCGGGATTAATGGGTTTCATTATTAACTGATTACCAACAGTCATAAACGGGGCAGTAAGATCAGCACCTTCTAATTCTGGCATCTCTACATCATCATCATCTTGCTTATGTACATATGATTTTAACACCTTGCCACTTTTAAGTTTAACTCCTGTTTGTACTGTTAATTTAACTGTACCAGGAGGTGGCGGTGGGTATTCTATATCAGAATCTGGTGTAGATGATGATTCCTGTAATTGCTGTGATTGTGAATTAACAGCTGCAGCAACAGAAATATCCTCTATATCATCCTCTGAGGGGGCATTAGGTACAGCAGGATACATTGCTTTATAGGGAGGTGGGGGTTGTGGTTGGGCATGGCCGGGGGCTAACTGGGTAGGGGGCACAGTTGGTGGTGGATATAGATTATCAGGAGGGGCTTCTATAGAAAAGCAAATAGTATTACTGTCAACAGTTCCCTTTCTCTTAGCCAGGTGTTTCTTAGCTCCCTTTAAAACCTTTCCTGTTACACTACAAGGAAACCAATGAGGGGCTATCAGCAACCAATTTTCACCTCCTGCTTTCATATATTCCTTATCCCAATCTGGATCAGGACCATATCACGGCCATGACTTCCTATCTCCCAAACACAATCCTCGAATCATATTCATATGAAAATCATCATTAGCCCCAGACCTGGGAAAAGGATCAGATGACTTCATAGTCTCTGTCCATCCTGCTAAATTTGACACAAAGGGGATTGTAAGAAATCCTCCTTGTGCTCCTATTCTAGTAACATAATTTAGACATGGCTCCCCTGGGTGGGGTAAAGGGTAAGAAATAGACTGATTATTTCCCATATTTCTGGCTCAGGGTAGAGACACTACCTACTTACCAATAGTGTGTCTCTACTTAAAAAGCAAAATAAACACAAAGCAGACACAGGGTGACCAAAGGAACGAGAAGTTTGGGTTATTCTAGATCTATGAACCGTGTTCCCTAGAACACTTATAGTATTAATAAACCGGAGACTCCTTTATAGTCTCAAAACCTGTATCTACCTGAGATACCCTGTATCTATCTTAGATACTAACCTGGGTTACCAAAACCCTATATATATTTAGACCAAATGTCTAATAAACCGGAGACCTATTTACAGTCTCAATATAACTAAGTCCTTATACCTTTCCTTTCTACTGGATACAGACTTACTAAACCAAAGGGGGTCATAGACAATTAGCGTCAATAAGACACAAAAAGGCTACTCACCCAATGGTTTTGCTGATCCCACTTCTGACACCAAGCTGAAAGGATAAATGCTGTTCTGGACTCAACTCCCCTCGATTCTCGCTCCTTCGATCACCACATCAATTGATGGGAGATCTTGTTTAGCAAATAAGACACACAGACACGAAAGAGTGCATAACAAGTTCTCAATGAGTATATTTTCAGGGCTAGCATTTATACACAATTTCTCATGCAAGCAGTGAAGTCTATAGTGTCCTTGTGGTTAATAGTACATACTTGTCGGACATGAAAAAGATAAGCATTTGGATGAAGACGAGACAGGAACATCCTAAGGTCAAGGAAGGTCATACATCCTGTAGAGGAAAGACCTTGGTACAAAATACATCTGCCAAAGTCAGCATAATTATTTCAAACATTATTTTAAAGCATATAAAGCAAAAAGAGTTAACCATTTCACTTCCTTACACATGGTAGTTTTGGCAACAAAAGAAGGAATGAAGGGGGGGGGGGTGTATAGATATAGAGAGAGAGAAAATTTGTATCTTTTTTTTTTTACATCTACATTTGTGGACTAATACGGCTACAATCTCTACTTGAAAACACACACACACACACTGCAGTATGTAATGAAACCTTTTTTATTTGACTAACATAACATTACTGCAATCCTCTGGTATATTGGCATCTTCTCTACTAGACTTATACGGCTAATCCAACCTACAATGTGTGTGTGTGTGTATATATATATATATATGTGTGTGTGTGTATATATGTATATATATTACAAAAATCTATCTCTCAAGAAAGAGAGCACTCATGGAACTTAGCAATATTTTTCAAATGTTGCTTTGATCACATAAGGTAACAAAAAAGTAGCTGTGCCTGCCAATGTTTCAGTCCTAACTTCGACTCTTTTTAAGACTTGACATTGACAGATACACTTATTTGTTGCTTTATATATTTACACCCTGTTTCAAATTATTATGCAAATTCTATTTAAGTGCCACAAAGATGAAATATTTTGTTTTTCAATTTAACTCATGGATGGCATTGTGTCTCAGGGCTCTTTTGATCACTGAAAACAATCTCGGACACCTGTGATAATTAGATTGCCAGGTGAGCCCAATTTAAGGAAAAACTACTTGTTACAAACTGCCGTTTGTAACTGTCCCTTTAAATGACAAATTGCCCTGCTTCCCTGGATTGTGGAGAAGACTATTTGCCAGCCTCCTTCCTCATAACTATGGCCCCTGGGAGATTGTGAAAACTTATGGACTTTTATTGGGTGTGTATGGCCCTTTAAGAACAGTCTGGGGACATATTGTGACTTTGGTGAACAATTCCCCTTTAAGACGGTGTCCCCAAATCTTTAATATACTGTGTTCCTGGCTTTCTTCCACTTGGTTCAGTAAATGGGGCTCACTGAACCAAGTACCACACAGGCAGACCACCCAGAAGTGGAAGTGTGCAGACAATTTACCCCCCAGGCTGGGAGCCTGCTGTAGGTAAATTGCCGACCGCTGGGTGGCCGCAGTTCATGCAAACCAACACGTGGCGGCGGCCATCTTTGTTCATTCGCACGAGGTCAGCGGTATGTGTAGCCAAATTCATGGAGCTAAAATCGGCTGCACATTTCCGTGAACACCGCTGACCTGTACCTTCTCCCATACTGAACTTTCAGCCGCAGAGACTAAGTCCCATTCGCTGATGGGACTTAGTCGTTTTTTCAGCCTGAAATAGACCGACCGCACAGCCCAAATCTATGGAACTGTTTTGGGCAGGAAAATGTGCTTGCGGTCGGTTATAAAGGACTTCCGGCTAACTTTTTATTCACTGGATGGATTTGTCTGATTTGGATATGTTTATATTTAAAGTGTGCTGATTAATAATATGTAATTTTTATGAGGATTGGATGTGTGGTTTTAAAGTTACAGGGTATGTATAAAAACTGTATTTTTCCTGCTTGTGATAATTATTTTAAACAATCGTGTGCCATTATTAGATCACAGGCAGAGGGGAGGATTTTGTGTGTAATTGCTGGGAGTGTTTTCTGTAATGTACGTGTGTTATTGGTTGTTTTGTAAAACCCTGTAGGTGGTCCTATCTAAGGGAAACCTGCATAAAAGAAGGTTCTTTTGGTGCCAATAAACAGAATGACTTGACCCTCTAACTTGCAGCCTTGACTCATGTTTGCAGGGGACAGCTATAATAACTACAGGGATTGCTATGCTCTTCATATTCCCTTAGCCACTGAGCTCTTGTAAGAGCTCTTGTTCCTGATCCTGCTTCGCTCTACAGAAGGAAGAGGTTCACCTACTGGAACCTGGAGCCTGGTCGTAGATCCAGGGTGGATAGCAGCCGGTGAGATCCTAGCCCAGCAGCGGCGGTTCGTGGAGTCTGCAGTACTTATGGTGTCTACGCAGTAGTTATGGTGTCTACGGTGCTGATGGTCCTTTGGTGAGCGCTAGGAGCATCCTTTCTACGGTCCAACTTCCAGCCAGCCTGGAGGCAACCGTAACACTACTAAAGGAGGGTGTTCCACATTATTAAGCAGAGCACCATTTTCATGCAATATGGGGAAGAAAAAAGATCTCTCTGCTGCCAAAAAGAGTGAAATAGTTCAATGCCTTGGACGAGGTATGAAAACATTAGATATTTCGCGAAAACTAAGCGTGATCATCGCACTATTAAGAGATTTGTGGCTGATTTAGAGCACAGATGGGTTCGTGCAGATAAAGGCACATTGAGGAAGATTTCTGCCAGATCCATGCATCGGATCAAGATAGCAGCTGCTAAAATACCATTACATAGCAGCAAACAGATATTTGAAGCTGCTGGTGCCTCTGGAGTCCCACGGACATCAAGGTGTAGAGTCTTGCAACAGTGCATAAACCTTCTATTCGGCCACCACTAACCAATGCTCACAAGCAGAAACGGCTGCATTGGGCAGAAAAATACATGAAGACTAATTTTCAAACAGTCCTGTTCACTGATGAGTGCCGTGTAACCCTGGATGGTCCAGATGGATGGAGTAGTGGATGGTTGGTGGACGGCCACCCTGTTCCAACAAGGCTGCGACGTCAGCAAGGCGGTGGTGGAGTCATGTTTTGGGCCGGAATCATGGGATGAGAGCTAGTTGGCCACTTTAGGGTCCCCGAAGGTGTAAAGATGACCTCTGCAAAGTATGTGGAGTTTCTGACTGACCACTTTCTTCCCTGGTACAGAAGGAAGAACCATGCTTTCCGTAATAAAATCATCTTCATGCATGACAATGCACCATCTCATGCTGCAAAGAATACCTCTGCATTAATGGCTGCTATTGGGATAAGAGGAGAGAAAGTCATGGTGTGGCCTCCATCCTCCCCTGACCTCAATCCCATTGAGAACCTTTGGAGCATCCTCAAGCAAAAGATCTATGAAGGTGGGAGGAGGTTTACATCCAAACAGCAGCTCTGGGAGGCTATTCTGATATCTTGCAAACAAATTCAAGCAGAAACTGTCCAAAAGCTCACAAGTTCAATGGATGCAAGACTTGTGAAGCTGCTATCAAATAAGGGGTGCTATGTTAAAATGTAACATGACCTGTTAAAATGTTTAAAAAGTTAAAATGTTGTTATAAGTTTGATTGAAATAGCTTTTGATTTCAGTAAATATGCTGCAAACACAACAAATGACAATTTTCAGTTCTTTACAACTTATTAAGTGTTTTGAAACTTACTGTGCGTAATAATTTGGAACAGTGTATTGTAAGTTTTTTATGTTTAAAAAGATACTGTTATCATTAGGAGGTTTGTTCAATACAATTTGAATTGTACTCTTAATAGTTGATAACATGATAATTATGCTGACTGTTATTTACATCAATTATTTAGGTAAAAGAGAAAAATATCATTTGCATAATAAATTGGAACAGGGTGTAAAGCAACATTTGAAAATTACTTCAAAGTCACATGAATGCTCTCTTTCTTGCAAAGAATATATTGAAACCAGAGATACACATGGGTTAATTTAAAAGTGGAGACACTGAGTGCTATGCTTTTGCAACATTATATATAAACATCCGATATAGAATGGCTGCTCACCGGTCTTTCAAAAATGCAAATATTTATTTGATAAGGTTTAAAAAAACTACCAACGTTTCAGTCCCCGTTCTGGACTTTGTTCAGGGTCAATAACAGGATAACAAATAGCACATACATACACAATATATAACCATACAATTAATTAAAATAACTCACCCAGGTGTACTGCACCCACCGGCACCGAGTGGACATACGGGTATGTGCGCGCATCTGATTGCATGTTCCGTCCCCGTCACGCCCATAATGCATGCTGACGTTGTGAACGGCTATAGAGTCCAGTCACCTTGGGAACCAGATACATAATCCCTCTTCATGTCTAAAAAGGGGGATGTAACGGATCACCTGGCACATCCATTGAAGGATGCTCCTAGCGCTTCCTGAGGACTCCAAGCACTCTAGCCGACACCACAACCACCACAGGCCAGGGGAGGAAGGGATACATACTCTCTTCCTTCAAAGTGAAGCAGGAACAAGCTCTCACAAGAGCTTAGGAGTGATTAAAGCAAGGTAATATGCAGAGCAAAGCAATCCCCCAATAAGAGACAGGACACCAAATTGAGAGTGAAGTAGAACTGTCTAAAACGTTATTTTATTTGGGATGAGCCTATATGGTCATTACATTAACATTGCTGTGAAAACTCAATAAAATTACAAACAGTCAAATCATAGCAGGCAACATACAGTGACTTATTATAACACAATGGCATATTTTTAAAAAGGTGGGGGAGACAACAATTAACAGAAAATATCTCACATGCCTGCAGAATTAGCAATATGCAAATCTACCCGAATATGCAAATGAACCAGTCTTGCTATTCAGGTAGTGCATTTTGCTGTTGCTACCAACAGAGGGCACTACACAAGCTCCATAGCCAAATCCACCTAGTTGGTAGCAATCCTCAGCAGTACAGGAGAGCAGGCAATACATCCCAGGGGCCATAGTCACATGGCAGGAGGCTGCCATTCAGTCTTCTCCAATGCCCAGTGGCGAGGCTGGTTCCGCCACATTTCTCCCCTTTTCCAAACAGACTAACAGGGTATCTGACCTCCTGCCGGTCAGTGCCCTGGTTAGTGCAGCAACCCACCCATGAAGCACAAACAGTAATACAGCCCACCCACAATACATGGTTACTACACCTGGGTAAAAGATTAGCTCGTCCATGTCCAGGTGCCTCACCACGGCTGTGTGGGGTACTGATAGGCTGCCTTGGTGGGTTGCTGAGTGGGCAGAGACCCGCGGTACTCTGCCCTGGTGCCAGCGCTACCACGGAAGTAGCCTGGTTGGAGCCATGCTGAAAAGAAGAGTTGGTAGGCTCCTCTCTCTGGATCTGGGACTGCTGCTGGAGGGGGAGACTGACTGTCTCTCCTTTGGACACACAGCCCCTTTGGCTAAACAGCCCTGCTGCTGGGGGACAGGACCGACTGTCCCTACCCCCGGTGGTGCATGTGCAGAGTCCCATCTGCACTGTTGTGGAGCTTACTGTCTCCCCTTGGTGGGCTAAGCTGCCGCTGGGGTGAAGGGGTAACAAGCTCCTCTCACATACATATTTTCAGCCGCTGGGGAGAAGGGGTAACAAGCTCCACTCCCATACATACTTTCAGTCGCTGGGGAGAGGGGATAACAAGCTCCTCTCCCTGACACTCTCTCTGCTGTTGGAGAGGGGGACCGACTATCTCCCCTTTCAATATATTGTCCCGCTGCTGGGGAGCGAGACAGACTGTCTCTGCTCCCTGCCGGACACACTGCTGCTGGGGAGGAAGGACAGCACCTTCGGCTCCCTGGGACTCGCTTGACTGCTGGGGAGAGGGACCGACTGTCTCCTCTCCCACAAACTCACACTGCCGCTGGGGAGGAAGGACGGCACCTTTGTCTCCCTGTAATTCACTGGACTGCTGGGGAGAGGGACCAATTGTCTCCTCTCCTAAGGACACACACTGCTGCTGGGAAGGAAGGACGGTACCTTCAGCTCCCTGGGACTCACTGGACTGCTGGGGAGAGGAACCAATTGTCTCCTCTCCTAAGGACACACACTGCCGCTAGGGAGGAAGGACGACACCTTCAGCTCCCTGTAACACGCACTGCCGCTGGAGTGGAAGGACTGCACTTTCGGCTCCCTGGGACTCACTGGACTTCTGGGGAGAGGGACCAACTGTCTCCTCTCCTAAGGACACACATTGCCGCTGGGGAGGAAGGACGGCACCTTCAGCTCCCTGGGAAACATACTGCCGCTGGGGTGGAAGGACGGCACCTTCGTCTCCCTGTAACTTACTGGACTGCTGGGGAGAGGGACCAACTGTCTCCTCTCCTAAGGACACACACTGCCACTGGGGAGGAAGGACGGTACATTCAGCTCCCTGGGATACATACTGCCGCTGGGGATCTAGGCCGACTGCCTAGCATCCCGTAGGGCCGGTAGAGAGACCTCGGTCCCATCTCCACCTGCCAGCTGGGTGTCTTCCTAGGACAAGTCAATAAGGGTTTTTTTCCATCTCTGGGGCTGGTTGGGACGTATGTGGTACAGTACCAAGATCCCCTGATAAAAGGCTTGGTTGCTGGGGAGGAGGAACTAAACTCAATGCTTTCCGGTGGTATACAGTCAATAAGCCCCATCATGTTAGGGACAGGCTGCATTGTACGTTGGAATAGGCAAACATAATCCTTTTCTAGTTCCCACTACCGGTTGGCAAGAAAAGATAGATCTGGCTGAATGGTATCGATCTCCGTAAGGTCCCAGTTGTCTGCCCGATCAGCTCAGATGGACCAGAAGCGAGCAATGTTGGTGTCTCCGAACCAGAGACTAGTTTCAATAGTATTCCACAACAAACCAGGGCATCATAGTCTTCCCCCTCAATACACTTGTACTCGATCAGCCATGGGTAGAGGTGGTAAGCATGCCACCTCAGGGCCCGATTGGAATCATCCAGCCACACCTCAGTCTCAACTAGCGTCTCCAGTTCGCTTGCCCATTCCTCTGAGGGCTGGTTTCCCAATAACGGCATCCGCAGCTCTAGTTGTTCTGCTTGGCGCTAGTTAGTGGTCAGGATTTCCTCGCACCGGAAGGGTCGAATTTCGTCGATGTCCTCCTTCTAGAGATCGGTACGAAGCACCACCCTCCACTCTGTCTCTCTTTCCTCTGTGATAGGATTCTCCATACTGCGCATCACATCCTGTAGTCGCTGCTGGAGCCTGACGTCAAAGTGAGATACTGCACGGCCTTCCATCTCTGAAGTAGTGCTGGTTTTCCCAAGGCTAGGAAGCCATCCCACCACTGCCACTATTGTAACGGATCACCTGGCACCCTGACTGGGTACCTCCGTTGAAGGATGCTCCTAGCACTTCCTGAGGACTCCAAGCACTCTAGCCGACACCACAACCACCGCAGGCCAAACCTCTGTTCCTTCAAAGCGAAGCAGGAACAAGCTCTTAAAAGAGCTTAGGAGTGATTAAAGCAAGGGAATATGCAGAGAATAGCAATCCCTTGTAGCAGATTCCCCCA